TGAAGGCATGGGCACATTATCAAGAATGAGCTAAACCATAAATCAAAATAAACCGGAAACATCCCAGATTAAATTCCAGAGCAGGAACAGATTCTTAAAACACCCCACAAGCAACTCAAAACCAAAGACCACATACCAACTGCAAGAACATAAGTAATTATCAATTATGCCACAAGTCCTTTTGTATAAGCTAAGGGAGAAAAAATTTCAGAACAATAGGCCCTGGACATATGAGATTTGGAACATATGGAAGTATGACTACAGATCTGTTGGTCAAGAGGTATAAATTATATAAAGAAGAGCATATGTAAAAGGGAATGGGGTTAGTATAATGAAATACACAGTACAGGCATATCAAGCAATTTCCCTTCTTCTCACTATTATGTATTAGTGTGGTATTTGTCTTTTATTTTAAAGGACAGCCTTTGTGTGCTTTCTAGTGTTCCTCACCTCATCCTAAGTCAATATATTATCCTGTATTTCAGCAATAATCATTCAAAAGATCATACACTTTACACTGTGATACAGATGTGTGATTTAGTCCTTTGTTTGACTTTGACTACAACTTGTCAAATAAATTTTGAGGTCTGTTCCCTCCTCTTGAGTCACACAAAGAGGAAATAGACTCTAGTTGGCAAGGTTGCTGATATTGCTTGGTGGCTATGTGGAAGCAGATGCTGTTTTCAAACCACCTGTCCTGTTGGGAGCTGGAGGGTGCTGCCTGGATCTACCACTCCAGGAAACATCTAGCACACTCTTGCCATTATAACAAATAACAATAATAAAGGATGATAGGTTAGCTTTTAGAATATAGTGTGGAGGGGGCAGAAAAGGCACGAGCAGGAAGTCTGCTTCCCTGTGTCAGTAAAAGAAAGCATTATGGGGAAGGAGGGCAGTTGCAGCAGAGGCCTAGAGAGGGTGACTGGAAGAAGAAGGAAAATAAGAGATTCTCCAAGAGATATCCAGGAGAAAGGAGGGGGATAATACATATGTTTTTGTGTGTGGTTCTAGCTGAATTTTCAAATGGAGGGGATGAAGGAGTGAAAAACTAAGAGTGAAAAACATCAAAAGATAGACCAAAACCATAATGAGATTTATTTGACATAAACCTAATTTTATACCAATGCCATGAATTTCCTCCCATACGTTTAAATCTGATATTAGCATTGACATTCTTGTGCCCTCTATCCAAGATGAGTCTGCCTATCAGTGGTGTTATACATATATTGCCTGGGAAGTGCCTTGGGAAGGGTCCTTCAAAAGTGGATGGAAGGCATTGTATAAAGGAAATACATATTAGCTTGAGTGGTTAATATATTTTGTGAAAACTTGCTTTTTTGAGCTTGCACCCAGAGAATGCTTAGATGGTACATAAATCCCCCAAACAAACCAGCATGGTGAATAAGTTCATTTTTGAGGGCCCAATTTTCTTGACCTTTAGAAGGTTTAAGAGTTATAGATTTTTTAAATTTTCACTGAAATATTCTTTGCTTAGATTAAATGTAAAGAACTCAGAGCCTAGGAAGGGTACTAAAATGGATTTCAAGACGGCAGACTTTAGCAAACTCAGGGAGTTAGTAGTAAAATCCCATGGGAAGCAAGTCTAGGGGGAAAAACAACTGAAGACAGTTGGCAGTTTTTCAAAGAGGCATTATTAACGGCACAAGAGCAAACTATCCCACTGCATAGGAAAGATAGGAAGTATGGCAAGAGACCACTGTGGCTTAACCAAGAGATAGTCAATGATCTAAACCTCAAAAAAGAGTCCTACAAAAAGTGGAAACTCGGTCAAATGACAAAGGATGAATATAAACAAATAACACAAGTATGTAGGGACAAAATTAGAAAAGCCAAGGCACAAAACAAGATCAAACTAGCTAGGGACATAAAAGGAAACAAGAAAACATTCTACAAATACATTAGAAGCGAGAGGAAGACCAAGGACAGAGTAGGCCCGTTACTCAATGAGGGGGGAAAGACAATAACAGAAAATATGGAAATGGCAGAGATGCTTAATGACTTCTTTGTTTCAATTTTCATCAAGAAGTTTGGTGGCGAGTGGAAGTCTAACATAGTGAATCCCAGCAAAAATGAAGTAGGATCAGCGTCTAAAATAGGGAAAGAACAAGTCAAAAATTACTCAGGGCAGGTCTACACTACAGCAGGGATCGACGCTCTGAGATCAATCCACTGGCGGTTGATTTAGTGGGTCTAGTGATTGAAAACTTGTTCCTAGAGAGTAGTTATCAGTGTTTCACAGTCATGCTGGAAGGGCATAATGAGTGGGGTCCCGGAGGGATCGGTTCTGGTTCTGTTCAATATCTTCATCAATGATTTAGATAATGGCAGAGTGAGTACACTTATAAAGTTTGCGGACGATACCAAGCTGGGAGGGGTTGCAAGTGCTTTAGAGCAGCAGTTCTCAAAGCCGGTCCGCCGCTTGTTCAGAGAAAGTCCCCAGCTGGCTGGGCCGGTTTGTTTATCTGCTGCATCCGCAGGTTCGGCTGATCACGGCTCCTACTGGCCGCAGTTTGCCGCTCCAGGCCAATGGGGGCTGCGGGAAGGGCGGCCAGCACATCCCTCAGCCTGCATCGCTTCCTGCAGCCCCCATTTGCCTGGAGTGGTGAACCGCAGCCAGTGGGAGCTGCGATAGGCCGAACCTGCGGATGCGGCAGGTAAACAACCGGCCCGGCCCGCCAGGAGCTTTCCCTGAACAAGCGGCGGACCGGCTTTGAGAACCACTGCTTTAGAGCATAGGATTACAATTCAAAATGATCTGGACAAACAGGAGAAATGGTCTGAAGTAAATAGGATGAAATTCAACAAGGACAAATGCAAAGTACTCCATTTAGGAAGGAACAATCAGTTGCACACATACAAAATGGGAAATGACTGCCTAGGAAGGAGTATTGCGGAAAGGGATCTGGGGGTCATAGTCGATCACATGCTAAATACGAGTCAACAGTGTAACACTGTGCAAAAAAAGCAAATATCAATCTGGGATGTATTAGCAGGAGTATTGTAAGCAAGCCAGTAGAAGTAATTCTTCTGCTCTACTCCGCGCTGATTAGGCCTCAACTGGAGTATTGTGTCCGGTTCTGAGTGCCACATTTCAGGAACGATGCGGACAAATTGGAGCAAGTCCAGTGAAGAGTCTAGAAAACATGACCTATGAGGGAAGATTGAAAAAAAATTGAGTTTGTTTAGTCTGGAGAAGAGAAGACTGAGAGGGGATATAACAGTTTCCAAGTATGTAAAAGGTTCTTACAAAGAGAAGGGAGAAGGATTGTTTTTCTTAACTCTGAGGATAGGACAAGAAGAAATGGTCTTAAATTGCAGCAAGGGCGGTTTAGGTTGGACATTAGGAAAAACTTCCGAACTGTCAGGGTGGTTAAGCACTGGAATAAATTGCCTAGGGAGGTTGTGGAATCTCCATCATTGGGGATTTTTAAGAACAGGTTGGATAAACACCTGTCAGGGATGGTCTAGATCAGGGATCGGCAACCTTTGGCATGGGACCTGTCAGGGAAAGCCCCTGGTGGGCTGGGCTGGGCTGGTATGTTTACCAGCTGTGTCCACAGGTTTGGCGGATCGCAGCTCCCACTGGTCTGCGGCGCGGGCCGAGGGATGTGCTGGCCACCACTTCCCGCAGCCCCCATTGGCCTGGGACAGCGAACTGCGGCCAGTGGAAGCTGCAATCGGCCGAACCTGCGGACGCGGCAGGTAAACATATCGGCCCGGCCCACCAGGGGCTTTCCCTGGTGGGCTGCGTGGCAAAGATTGCCGATCCCTGGTCTAGATAATACTTAGTCCTGCCTTGAGTGCAGCAGACTGGACTAGATGACCTCTCGAGGTCCCTTCCTATTCTATACTTCTATAATTCTAAAAGAAGCAAACAAAATAAAACAGGAATTAGCCTCTTACTATTGATTAATCAATTAATATACATAAGGCATTTTGCATTATTATTATTTTCAGAGATTTTGAATGGGGCAGTAGTTTGAATCCCCAGTCTGGGGTAGTTGATTTGCCTCATCAGTGTATAGCAGGTAGTTTAGAGCATGTGAACTCTGGGTCTCATTCTGCTCTCATCCCAATGTAAATTAGGAGCAATTTGAGTGAAATCAATGACATCAATGTAGAACTAGTACAGCTGACCCCAGAATAAGTTTCTCTGCATTTCATGATCTTACATTCATTCACATTTGGCACAGCGCTGTTGCAATGAAGAAACAGTGCTCCCCAAGAGGGGCCCCAATGATGTGCTCCAGTGACACAATGGGGGGAGAAGTCCTGTCTTTACAGGAAGTCCGGTGGCATCTTAAAGACTAACAGATTTATTTGGGCATAAGCTTTTGTGGGTAGAAAACCCATTTCTTCAGACCATGCATTTGAAGAAGTGGGGTTTTTTTACCCACGAAAGCTTATGCCCAAATAAATCTGTTAGTCTTTAAGGTGCCACTGGACTCCCCGTTGCTTGTATGGATACAGACGAACACAGCTATCCCAATACTTGTCTTTACGGGCTCCACTTATGTACATGGGAGGAGGCAGCCCTCTTCCTAAGGGTCCTCCTGATTGCAGTGGGGGAAGAGAGCTGCCTCTATGGGCCCTACCGAGCTACGGGAGAAGCGAGGCTGCCCTTAAGGGCTAGTACCCCACTGCTTTACAGTTTATAATGTGTGTGGGGGGAGGAAATAGTGTTGCCCCATGGGCCCTGCTGAGTTTTAGTGGGGAAGCAACTCTGTCCCTACGGGCCCTAGAGATTTCCGGCGTCGGGTTTGAGGGGAGCGGGGCCGAGAAGACCAGCCCCGCCCTGCTTGCTACGGGCCCGGCAGCCGCTCTAGTGACTGAAGCGCGGTGCACCCGCTATTCCGCTCCGGGTCTCCACGGGCGGGGCTAGCGAGGGAGAACGAAATTTCGGTTCCTAGCAGAGCGGAGTCATATTGGGCAGAAGCCGCGGAGGCTTGTGGGAGAAGGGGGCTGGCTCCGGTCTCTCGTCCCTCCCCTTGTCCCCTTCCTTCCCCTCCCCCCCGCCCGTCCTCCGGCCAAGATGTCTGACATGGAGGATGATTTCATGTGCGATGATGAAGAGGACTATGATCTGGTGAGGTCTGGGGGGGCGAGCGGGAGCTGGGTGGGGGGGCGATGGGGTTCTCTGGCGCGGGGGCCCCTCTCTGTGCGTGTCTCTGCCTCAGCCCCTCTGAGACGCTGCCTTCTCAGGGAGCAGTGACAGGACGAGTTTGGCTCCCCATTTCCTCAGGGGGCCAGGGGAGGCAGAAAATGGCTTGGGGGGGTGGGCTGGCGCTGATTTTGGACCAGGCCTCACCAGTGTTTATGCTTTCTGCCCCCCTGAGAAACAGGCCACTTGAGCCCTAGGAACTTAGTTAGGCCCCAGAATTGCCCCTTCAGGCCCAACAAGTCTGTGCCCCTGTTCAGTTCAGCCAGGGGGTCAGGGTTAGGGGGGGTTGTAATTCTCTCCCTGTAGCCCAGCAAATTGGTTCACGCGAAGTAAAGGGATACGTTAACTCTGGGTTGGGGGGGAGGTTTGTAATCCATGTTCTAGGATCCGACTAAGGCGCGGGGGGGATAGCAGGAGAAGCTGGGAGACAGATCTGCCTGCTACACATATCACTTCAGCTGCAATATACCATTAATGTATTTATTTTTAACTTCCTTGCTATCGAGGTGGAACTGGGATTTGCTTTTGTCATTTGTGTGGTTTTGGTGGCAGTGTTTGTTTTGGTTCTGTTTTGTCCTTATGTTCTCAGGTGGACAATAATATATTTTAATTGAAAAATAGAAACTGATTTGTCTGAGGGAATTTGTGTTTAGTAGGGTTATCTGGCTTCATAGTGATATTTGAAATTGTTAAAAGCAAATGTGAGGAATAAAAACATTTCTAAGAGGGGAGACTCAGTTGTATTGAGAAATAATGTTTGGACAAAAAATACATTCGCTGTGTTGTCTAATCAGTCTTAATTCAATGTTTTCTGTGGCTTTGCTTTTTTAAATTCTCAGTAGAATGATAACACTGAGCTTCTTCTTTTTTTTTTAAAGAGTTGAGTATTCTGTATTCCAAAGGTTTTTCTGGGATGTGTATTTCACTTAGTGTAAACTAGAACTGCATTTCATGTACTGTTTAATTTTATAAATAAACCCCTAAAATCTCATTTATGAGAAGAATTTCTATGTAATAAGTCTTGTAGTATTCATTAGTATTTAGAGCAAGTTCTTAAAATTTAATGGTTTTCTGTGTGATCTGGGATATGTGCATGATTGACATCTAAAATTTAGAAAAATTTCTCCAGTCCAGTCTTATGCATATATTTTTAATTGAGATAGAGCAGTTGACATGTACACATTGACTTTCTAGCCTTTCACTTACCTCCTAAATATGAACACAAATTATTTTAGAGACGTGTTTTTAAATGAAATTGAGTTTAATTATGTACATTATAAAATGGAAATTGTTCTTATCAGAATATTCAAAAAGATACTATGGGTCAGTTTGTTTCTTCATCAGTTGGCAGCCATTTTTCACAAACATGTTTATCAGAACAGATTCTAATTTGAAATATTTTGTCCGTATTACAGAATAAAATACTAAATCATTCTGTATGTGTGTCAAAAGATATACAAGTTGTGTTTTTTTGAGAGTTTTAAAAAAATTGGAAAGTCATATTGAAGTGCAGCGTCCCAAATGTAGGCCTGGTATAAGTCAGTGCAACTCCACTGGCTGCAGTTGAATTTTACCTTATGTTAAGTCTGAATTTTATGCTTTATTGGCTGCCAATGTGCTAGGAGAAATAACTGCTGTTTCTTGCTTCCGTATGCTTCCTGGTTAGTCACAGGAAGAAGTTCTCTGAATTCTTATTCCCATGACTGATTACAAATATTCACAAAATTTACTTTCAAAAGAACATTTTCAACATCAGTCACTGAACACCCTTTTTCAGACCTTTCCTTTAAATCAAGGCTTGGAAGGATTCAGTTTTTATTGATAAATGTTGAGGTCGCCATGTGCGCACAAACTGACAAAATATTCCTGACAGTAATAATTGAAATTTACAGATAGGCAAAATAAGAAAAATGCTGCTTGAGAACTTATTAGAGTAAAAATCCAGTGATTTAAACTTCTGTATTAGGCTTGTTATAAATGGACTAATGAATGAATAGTAAAAACAGGTATGATTTGTTGATTTAAGGATATTTACTTTATGCATTTTGACATGATGTTGACAATGTTTTAACAGTTTACAAAGGTTTACTTTTTTGAATCTGTGTCTACTGTAATTAAATGTCTAACGTCGCCCATAAATTTTCACAAAATTATAAGGGAAATTGAGTCAATAAAAATCTTTTAAAAGCTTAAAAATGAACATTGATATTATTTATCAAAATTATGAAATTCTGCCAAGACCACTTAAAACACACTGAAACTAGATATTGTTTTAACTATCGTGTGTGTTTGTGTTAGTACAAGTTCTCTTTTTTAGAATATAATGCATCACAGGACACATTAGTATTGAATTAGAGTGACAAGGTTTTTAGATGCAATTTTGGCTTACGGGTGGAAGGACAGAGTTTTAATCAAGTATCAACGTTATTCCAGTTAAATTAATTTCTTGCATGCGTGGGCTGATCAGCATGGATGGGGTAATGGAATGCAAGAACAATGTTTACAAATGTGTTCTAGTTTTGCTAGCTACTGTATAGATGTAGGCTATGTTAGAAATTAGTTAAATGTACTTTCTCTAAACCTGGGACTTGGTTCTCCCAGCATGTTGGTGTAAAACAGGAGAAACTGTTGAAATTAAACTGGTGTAAGAGGAGGATGAGGCCAATGGTTCCCAAGCTCAAATTCAAGACTAGTATAGAAGGAGGTCTTGAAGAGTGGAAGTAGGACAAGAGGTTCAGACAAACAAAGCACTAGAAGTAAAAGGGCAACTCTGAACTATGGAGAGTATTTTGGACGGTTAAAAAGGGAGAAAGACTCAACAGCAGTCAGCCTGAGGGCTAAAACACTGTAGCTCTTCAGTGAAGATACTACTATGCTGACAGGAGAGCTTCTTCCATTGGTGTAGTTAATCCACCTCCCGTGAGAGGTGGTAGTTGTTTTGGTGGGAGAAGCCCTCCTGTCGGCATAGCACTGTTTACAGCGGGGGTTAGGTCAGTGTAACTGTGTTGCTCAGAGCTGTGGATATTCATACCCCTGAGCAATGTAGTTATACTGATGTAAGTTTATAGTGTAGACCTGGCCTGAGTTAGTGGCGAAATCAGTGTTTACTAGGCCAAAGAAGTAAAGTGAAGTGAGTGTAACTTGTTTGAGGTGCCAAGAGTTTTAACAGACTTTGTAAAAAATAGAACAGTTACACCCTCCTTAACAGATTTTGATCTACCAGGTATATAGAGTTGGGGAATCATGTCTTATTTCTGATAGTATCCAAATGGCGTGTACTTTCCTAGAACTGTAATATGTATATTCCAAAGTGTCTGCTTCTTCCAAGTTTCCCATCTTGAGTTTTTTATCAGGCTGGTAATATCACTGTGGTAATTATTGTGATAAACAGATATGGGGTTACCATTTTGTAATATTATAAAATCATAGCTTGCTATTTCTGCTTAGTTTTTCATTGTCTTAATGGTAAAACTTTCTGTATATAAATGTTGTATGACATTCACAGATAGATGTAGTTATATCTGTTTGGAAGTGCTAGCTTTGATTATAACATGTATTATTCCATTTTATGACTTAGTAAATAAGGCTATAGTTACTTGTCACTATGGAAAGCATTATATTTTAAGTAATCTCAAAGTCTGCCTTGTTGGTGTTTGGTCCCTTGTTTGAAAATAATCAGTGGTCTCAGTCCAGTTCCTAGTAAAGAGTTGCCCATGTCGGGGGGCAGATAGAATCACAACTACCCTCCTTTTTGGGAGTTGGTTTAGAATAGACATGGAGTCTGAATTTTATCCTTGTCTGGGAGTGATCTTTCCATGCACTGTGGTGTTGCCATGTGGTAAAACTTGTATTGGCAGTACTTACAACACATCTGTGGGGGCTTGTTTGGTTTTGTTATAAATAGAGAACGGTATAGGCAGATGATATTATCTGTAACCCTAAATTCACTTTTAAAAATTGGGAGGCTGGGAGCCAAATCTGTTAGCTGTGCAATTAGACTATATTGCATTAAAGATTTATTTTGTATGATACATTTTTTTATTTGAATGTTGGAGAGAGACAAAAATACAAAAGAAAAGGGAGAGTTTATCAGGAAACAGATTCAGTACTCCATATTTATCTGCCTTTTTCCTGGAGTATTCCAGGTATCCAACAAGACCTAGAACCCTGTTTCTTGACACTCAGTTTCACAACAGCAGCTTGTTCCTGAGTAGAGACATATAGTATCTAATTGGTATGTTCTGCCAGAAATCCACCCATGAAGCCCAGGAGGTTGGTAATAGATTTCAAATGCTTTTATGAAAGTGATCTTAGCGTGTGTGTTAAAAATGATTAATTTGTTAGTATGCTTCACAGCAGGACACAAGTGCATTCTGCTGTCTAGGATATAGGTTTTCAGATGCTGTCCAAATATCTAGGACTTCATGGTTATTCATGTAAGGGAGCCTAATGGATTAAAAACGTTTTGTTCTTTTTATTTATTGTTGTCTAGGCCTTAAAATATTGGTCTTGGCATTAGACGTTTGTTTGAGGAGTAGCATTCTGAATTAAATTCTCATTCACTCCATACGATACACTATCATTGTACTTGCGTCAGATTGTGTCAAATAACTCTAACTGCACTGTATGTCAAGTGCCCTTCATACCCAATGCAGTTTTTTGCTGTATGCATCTTATCATATGCAAGACTTCCCTGGATTTTGCAAAAACGTTCATTTTGAGAGAGAGATTCTCTCTCTCGTACTGTTGTCAGAAATCTGTTTCATGTTCTCAATTCACTAATTGAACCCTTTTACCACTGATCTAGTAAGGCAGTCTTTCTTGCCATGTATGTGTTTAAACTGTGTCTTGAAATAAAACTTATTTTTCATTAAACCGAATGGAAACATTAAAACTTTTGAGTTTTGGGCAAAATGTTTAAAGGA